AATCAGAACCAAATACAGAAAAATCATCCATGAAGATTTCTATATATTTCTCTACCATACCTGAATAACCGTCCAAGAAACAATAGAAGGCATGTCCTGCCAACCTCTCCAACATCTGATCCAAGAACGGAAGGGGAAAATGGTCCTTCTTTGTTGCCTTGTTCAATCTCCGATAGTCAATGCACATCCTCCAGCCAGTGATTGTCCTTGTGGGAATCAATTCATTCTGTTCATTCTTCACCACAGTCATTCCCCCTTTCTTGGGTACTGTTTGAACAGGACTCACCCAAGCACTATCTGATATAGGATAAATCATCCCAGCATCAAGTAACTTCACAACCTCCTTCCTCACTACCTCTTTCATAGTGGGGTTGAGTCTCCTCTGTGGTTGCCTTACTGGTTTGACTTCCTCTTCCATCAAGATTTTATGGGTGCAGAAAGAAGGATTGATACCCTTAAGATCTGAAAATTTCCATCCCATAGCTGTTTTATTCTTCTTGAGTACCTGAATCAACTTCATTTCTTCACTCGCTGTTTTATTCTTCTTGAGTACCTGAATCAACTTCATTTCTTCACTCTCAGATAACATTGCATTGATGATTGTTGGATATGTTTGATCATCCCCAAGGAACACATACTTCAAATTTGAAGGTAGTTCTTTAAGCTCTACCTTAGGTGCTCCCACAGGAATGTCATCTATCTTTTTATCAAGCTCTTCCACTACTGGTTCCTCTTGATAATTTTCTGTAGTTGTCTCCTCAAGAAATCTATCTTCCTCCAATGAAAAGTCTTCTTCTCTATTCACTTCTTCCACCATCTCCTGTATGACATCAATACTGAAACAATCCTCCACATCAACAGGATGTTTGATGGCTTCAAAGACATCAATTGTAACTGTTTCTTCATCCACCCTTAGCATCAACTTCCCTTGTTCAACATCTATCAGGGATCTTGCAGTTGCTAAGAATGGTCTTCCTAGGAGTAAAGGACTTTCAGTATCCTCTTCCTCCATATCAAGTATCACAAAATCCACAGGAAAAATAAACTTGTCCACCTTAACTAACACATCTTATACTAATCCTTCTGGTCTTTTGATAGATCCATCTGCAAGATGCAGAATAACATTGGTATCCTTCAACTTATCTATCCCCAATGCCCTACAGACAGACAATGGCATCAAATTTATACTTGCCCCCAAATCACATAGTGCTTTACCAACTTCCACATCCCCAATTGCAATAGAAATGCTAAAGCTCCCTGGATCCTTCAACTTTGGAGGTAATTTCTTCTGAATCAGAGCACTACACTCCTTCGTCAAAGCCACTGTCTCACCATCCTTTAACTTCCTCTTCTTAGATAGAAGATCCTTCATAAATTTTGCATAGTGAGGCATGTTCTCCAGGGCTTCAGCAAATGGTGTGTTTATCTGCAATTTCTTGAAGATATCCAGAAATCTTGCATAGTGCTGTTTCTGAATCTCTTGCTTCAATCTCTGAGGGTAAAGAACTTTGGCATATGGAGACAAAGTAACTGGCTGGTCCTGCTTGTCAGCCATCTTATTCTTCTCCCACTTCATTGTCTTTTTGGGCACACCATCATTTTCAACTACCACATATTTTCCTTCCTTATCTTCCTTCACTGTTTCTTTTTCTTTATTTTCCTTCACCTTCTCTATTCCATCATCAGAGATTACATCTTCAACCACAACCTCTTCTTTATTCTTTTTATCTTCCACATTCTTTTTCACCTGTTGAAGCACCAACCCACTTCTTGTCATGATTGCTTTGCAGTGCTCCTTAGGATTCACCATTGTATCACCAGGAAACTTCCCCTGTGGTCTCTCAGATATCTGTCTTGATAGCTGACCAATCTGCGTCTCCAGATTCCTGATAAATGCTTCCTGATTTCTGAATAAAGTCTTGGTCTCTTGCATGAATGCAGATCCTCTCTGAATGAATTAGACCCCTGAATGTAATCTTGAGTAGTCTTGGATAACTGAGCAAAGGCTTTTTCCCATGCAGCAGTATCACTTGGCTGTGATGAGTGTGTTGGAGGAGGATGCAGTGGAGGATTCAACTGATGGTTGGAACTATAACTAAACCCTGGGTGCTGATTCTTGTTCTTCCATGGTGGCACATACAAATTTCGCCCCTGGTTGTTGTAATTCCTCTGGTTGTGATGGTCATAACACACTCCATTAACTCCTGCATGTTCTGGTGATCCCCCATAGTCACATTCCTCTGTCACATGGTCTTTGCCACAGACAGCACACACACAATTGGTATCCACATAAGCAACCTTTTGTGAGGATTATTGCGTAGTAAGAGCATCCAACTGTTGTTGTTGCTGTTTCTGTGTCTGCATCAACTGGTCATTCTTTGCCAACAAAGCATCATACCCATCCAGCTTAATGATCCCTGTCTTTCTGTCAGTCACTGGGGCATTATCAAATTCCTGAGATGCTAATGATTCAAAAATATCCAAAGCCTCTTCTGGAGTCTTGGTGGTCAAGGAACCACCAGCAGTGGCATTCACCAATGTTCTGGTGTTGGTTGTCAATCCTTGGAGGAATATTGCTGCTTGATTCCACACTTCTATTCCATGCTGTGGACATTTCCTCAATAAAGTCTTGAATCTCTCCCAAGCCTCATAAATGGATTCTGATTCTTTTTGCTTGAAGCCTGTGATCTCATCCTTCAACTTCGCCCTCTTGGATGCTGAAAAGAATCTGGCCAAGAACTTGGTTTGCAGATCATCCCAAGTTGTTATACTCCCCTGAGGCAATGACTGCAACCATCTCCTTGCATCATCCTTCAGTGAATGAGTGAATAGTCTCAGCAGAATTGCATCCCTTGTGACACCATTAATTTTCACAGTATCACTAAACAACAGAAAATTTTCTATATGCAAGTAAGGGTCCTCTGAACTGGTTCCAGCAAACTGCTCCTTCTGCACCAACTGTACCAATGCAGGTTTCAATTCGAAGTTATTTGGCTCTACTGTAGGACGCACAACACTACCAATTGGAGGAATCACGGCAGGAGTCATGTAATCTCCCAGTGTCCTCTGTGGTGGTTGCACATGATTTTATGCCATAATTTCTACTTGGTTGACAGCACTGGATTCACCCCTTTCTTGAAACTGTCTTCTTTGTCTTGCTGCCCTTCTTTTCTTCCTCAAAGTCTTTTCTAATTCTGGATCATATAACAAGAAGTTTGGATCAATAGTACCTCGTATACACCAAAATCAAAATTGACCAAAAATTTAACACAAAATAAAATGCTGAAAATAAAAGGATTCAATCTCAGATTTCTATGGTATCAATCAATGTTGAAAAACAAATCCCCGGCAACGGCGCTAAAAACTTGTTGCGAATCTAGCAAGTGTACTAGTCGTACAAGTAATAAAATGATGAGTAAAGATCGTTCCCACAGAGATTTGTATTCAAACACCAATTAACCATAGAAAACTAATTTGAATCAAACAAAAGTTTGTAAAAATCATGAATGTTTTGTCACCAGGAAATTGATTTGAAGTAACAGAATATAATGCTAAAATTTGAATTAAGATTTAATAAAAACAAGTAGTCAGAAAACAACTTCCCTCAACAATAAACTCATGTAAAAAACTGACCATATGATGAATTCTTTTTCATGTGATGTTAATCAACCTTTTACTTATCATCAAGATGTAATCCCTTACTACCCTGATAGATACATTAATCAGAAACCCCAATCCCTTGGTGATTCCTTTCTTAATTCATACATTAAACACTAAAGTCTTAAGATTACATCAGAACTCTAGCATCAATCCCTTGAGTACTAGAATCCTGATGATGAGATTGCCAAATATAGTAGTAGTGTAAACATTCCTGTTCTACACTACTTCCTTAGTAGAAAGAATTGAATAAGAAAATCTCATATCAACACATGAAAAATACTTCATCATATTAATCAAACATACATAAGATTGTCATTAAGTTCCATTGAATTCAGACCACAATGACTCTACTCAGACATAACTAAAGAATACACAAGAGAATAAAGATCAAACTCCATTGCCATGCAGTGAATCTTCAATCTCCAAGTACAATTACATAAGAAACTAACTAATACAAGAACTAAGTCCTAAAGAAATTTAGAGAGAAGTCAGATCAGAGAATGTGATGTAAGAGAGAGAGAGAGAGAGAGAGAGAATCCAAATTCTAAAAATGTGAAGGCCCTTGCCTTGTATAGTTTTACAAATTCAAACAGAAAAACTAACATGGGCGCTAAAACGTTCATGAGTGAGCGTTTTAGCGTCCATGCTTGACAGATGCCCAACTGTTTTTAACTATCTTGAACGCTAAAACGTTCATGAATGACCGTTTTAGCGTCCATGTGCGGTGAAAGTTCAACTGTCTCCAACTGACTCCAACGCTAAAACACTTGGTTTGGACGTTTTAGCGCTGGAGACCAGAGTATTTTTCCAACAGCAGGGCGCTAAAATGCTTGATCAGGAAGTTTTAGCGCCCAAGACCAGCAACATTTTGTCCTCGGATTGCAGCAGCGCACTAAAACGTTTTGTGTGGACGTTTTAGCGCTCAGCACCAGCAAGTTTTGGCTTCTTTCTGCAGCAGGGCGCTAAAACGTTCTGGATAAACGTTTTAGCGCTCAACACTTAGAATTTTTCTCTTCTTCAGAATCTTCTTCCTTCTCCCAGCTGCCTTTTAATCTTGCTTTTCCTACAAGAATAATACAAATTTTCAATAAAGCTTCCTGAACTTGTAGTTGAGGACATTCTAGGATATTAACCTCTTTTTCCATCATTTAATCACACAAATTGATACTAATTCATGCTGAAAAACCTGATGAACTAAGGGTTTATCATATACTCAGACTACATGGATCTTCTTGATGAAAGATAAGGCAGAAGTAACATAGTTGTTTATCCAGTTTTATTATATGATTGAAACCCAGTTTGGTAAACTTATCAAACGCTTGAGATCAGATAATGGTACAAAATATGTTAATCAACATCTTTCTCAGTTTATTAAAGACGAAGGAATGGTTCATGAACTCATATGCGTGGATACCCCTCAATAAAATGGGGTTGCTGAAAGAAAAAAATGACATTTGCTTGAAGTCACCAGAGCATTTTTATTTCAGACATCTGTACCCAACTCTTACTAGGGAGAAGCTATATTAACTGCAGCCTATTTGATGAACTGCTTACCTTCCAGAATCCTTGACCATGTAAGTCTTGTTGATCTCATGACCTCTTTTTTTCCTTATGTTCCAATTATGCAGAATCTCCAGTCTCGTGTCTTTGGATGCGTTGTCTTTGTCCATGTTCATAAACAACATCAGAATAAATTAGAGCCTCAAGCCCTTAAGTGTGTCTTCTTTGGTTATGCTCCCAACAAGAAAGGATACAAATGTTATTACCCTCCGAGTCTTAAATTCTTTGTGTTTATGGATGTTAGCTTCCATGAATCTGAGTCCTACTTTCTACCTCCTCAGCTTTAAGGGAAGAACAATATTGAAGCTCCTTCCATTTTCTTTGAGTTTGAGTCTCCTCTTCCATTACCTACATTATCTCCTAACTCAGTAGTTACACTACATGACATTGAGAAGGAAGACTTAGTTGATGAGGCTGAAAATTCATTTGATATCTCTTGTGACATGCCTCCAATTGATCGACATAACGTACGCAAAGTTGGGACACCTAAACTATTGTACCAAAGGAAGAAACAACCCACACTGCCCCACCAGCAACTGCAATTTCCTGTACCGTTGGTAAGTATAATATCCCTAACCTAATTAAATAGTAAATTACATGTAATTAAGTAAATTAGCATGTATTAGTGAGTTGAAATAAGTAAAAGGCCTAATTAAATTAGTTAGGATCACTTTTGAGGTAAAAATTGCAGTCAGTGAAAATTATAGGGTAAAAATGGGTGTAGGAAAAAGTACCCAAAATATAAAAGTAAAAGTGAAAATATTCCTAGAAAAATATTCCAGACCTTTGGGTAAAGTTTGGAAGAGAACGGAGTTAACTAGATAGATGAGCTGATACCCGGTTGAGATAACTTAACTTAACTTAAGTGTAAAAACACAAACCCACCACCTATTTCCTTTCTTCTTCATCGTGAGAAAACTGAGAGAGAGGGAGAGAGGGTTTGAAGCCATAGTTGAAATTGAAGAAAACCTAACATTCTCATCTCTCAACCAAATCAATCCATTCCAAAGGCTAACTTGTGTCAAATTTTATCCTCTTTCATAACCCTAACTTAGTTTTGAGTGGGAACCATTGTGGAGGGAGAAATTCCTTGTGGAAGGGGGCAAAAATCTTGAAGTTGGAGGAGCTTGAGGTGAAGCATTGCCTCCTTGTTGCTTGGTTACCCTTCCTTGAATCTTTGTGGTTGGATTATGGTAAGTTTTCCATCCATTTTGGTTAATTTGAATAAGGTGTATGTTTAGGGTTTTGGTTTAGGAAGATGCATGAATAGTGAGGTATGTTGGAGAGGGATTGAGACTAAATTCCTTTGTTAAAGTTGTTAGGAATGATAATTAAACGGTGGAAATGAACTTAGATAGTCATTGGTTAATGTTCAACATTTTGGAAAAACTCATGCTTGAAATATTGAGCTCCTTGCATTGTTGAGCCATGGCTTGTATTGGTTGATTGATTTCACACTCTTGAATAGGGTGTATTGGTGACTGGAAAGAATTGTCAAGTGGACATACCAAGAAAGGTTGGTGTGGATAAGTGAGCTAGAAGAAAGCTTGCAAAAGGATGGGAAGCATTGAGAGGTAAACCTTTGGATCTTGGAGGTTTAATCCCTCTTGTTGTTCCACCATTGCTTTTATGGAAGTGATGGTTTATGAATGGATAATTGACTGGTAATGTTAGTATTATGGTATGTTTGCATTCATATAGTATTGTCGTGTCATTGGAGAAAGGTCCAATGGACAAGCACTAGGGGCTAGGTTGTATGCTTAGTGGAAAGGACTAAGATGCAACTGAAGCGTGTGTGATGATTTGATTGTTTAATTCTGTGGCCATTGAAATGCATGAGTATGCTGCTGTTAAATTATTACTGTTATTGCCTCTGGATATATGATGTAGTTCACGCCATGTATATACTAACCCTTCATGCAGGAAGTGAACTCTGGGGTTGGAGCAATTCTCCAAGAACCCTGGGTTTATTGAGTTTTATCTCACCCCGTTTGGGGACTGCTATTTCAGGTGCTAGCAGAGATAATACTGGGCGAGGCAAAGGGCACGAGTAGCTTGCATATGATAGATGATAATTGATATATTTTGATGCATTAGTGATAGATGAATGCAAGTAGGACGTAGAAGTTGATCATTGATGTTGTATTGCCCTGGTGGGACTTTGATCATTTGTTATTTCTAAGTCTTTGGTATGTAATCATTTTGATGCACATTGATGTAATTGAGCCTCTTTTGATATCATGTGAGCCTTGAAATGGCAATAATTATGCATTGAAATTGTTATATAATGTTTATTAGGTGAAAGGACCTTTGGGATTGAGAATTAATGTAAATATAAGGATATTATGGCTTGTTGTCCATTTTTCATATCCTATATGATAGATTTGGACCCTTGTGTATTAATGGAAGTTATAGATCTTTTTCTTAGCTTTCCAACGAGACCAAGATTGTGTCAATCGGATAAGTATAGCTCAAATTATGGGTAAAATATCAAAGTATGGTGAAATCTCCAGAACCGTGGCGTTGTCGGCGCGGTAGGTGCGAAAATGGCAGCAAGGTTGACGCTCACAGCACGGGTTTGGCGCTCTCAGCGCGGGACCCATGTGGAATTCAACAGTTTTTCTTCAAGAATTCCTAACTTGAGCTACGGTGCTCTGATTTGAGCGTGGTTTGAACCCACGCATAGCTAATGAAGAATTATATAGCATATTGGAAGATGGAGACCATACAAGTAGTATAGGAATTTCTTAAATAAATAAAGAGTGGAGATGTTTAGTGTTTAATAACAATAAAAATGAGTTTATAAGCCTTGTTGGTCTAAGGGCACT